GTATGGTGGCCTTCCTGCCGAGGAGCCAGGGAGACAGAGAGAAGGAGCTGAGTGACGGGGCTCAGGGAGAAGGGACAGAGCCAGGGTTTGACCCCCGCCTTTCTGACCCCGAGCCCCGAGCAGCTTGGCGCTTTGTCATGACCGAACCCTTCCTCACAGCTTCTCCTCACTGCGCCTTTCCTTCTGTCGGTCACTCCCCACGTGGCCACTTCTCTCCTCCTGTGTTGTCTGCTCCCCAGTTCAGTCGCTGGGGATGCCGCCGAGGACAGGTTCACAAAGGGATCCGGTGCCTATAGCCCCTCTGGCGACCAGTGGCCATAAAAAAGGTCTATTTTTATTGACTTCAGCGAGGCAGGGAGAGGGAGCGGGAGAGTCAGAAATGACCCGAGGTTTGACCTCAGGCACTGAGATCTGAGAATCCCACGGAAGCCGCCGCTTAGATTTCTCCAAGATAAGGCCGGGTCACTACTCGGTGAAGCGTTATTTTTTCACTGACAGAGAAATAACAGCAACAGGGAGGAGCACAGATGCTGAACTATGGAAGAACATGATTTCTTAGCTTCCCTTCTCTAAGCCAAAAGAGATGAAAGCTTTCATTAGCATTCCAGATCTCCAAGACGCTCCAGGATTTATGTTCCTTCCGAGAAGCAGCAGCTCAGCGCCTGTGGGACTTGTTCTCGGTCATCTCCTCGGGCGCGGGGAGGGAGAGCTCACGGAGTAGTGGAGATAACAGCGGGTCACGTGATTCATTGGGTACTGTCTCTTTCGTGTGACAAGAAACAGATAAGGAAGCTCTGGAACTCACAGCACAACCCGGGGCAGATTGTCATTTCATGTTTTCCAATCCACGGGACCCATTACTTAGAGTGATTGCCCTCGGGCAAGAGATGACTCAGTGTGTCTGTCAGAAAAACAATTGATCTGTTGGATGAATAAAGTCTTAATAAATCTAATAAAAGTCACTGATACCATGTGGCTCAGTTATTGAGCAGCAACCTATGAATTAGGAGGTCAGGGTTCCATTCCTGGACAGGGCACATGCCCAGATTTCTGGCTCCATCCCCAGTGGGGAGCATGGAGGAGGCAGCAGATCCATGATTCCCTCTCATCGTTAATGTTTCTATCTCTACCTCTCCCTTCCTCTCTGAGATCAATAAAAATATATATTTTAAAAATGTCTATTTTGCCAAGACCGGTTTGGCTCAATGGATAGAGCATCGGCTTGGGGACTGAAGGGTCCCGGGTTCGATTCCGGTCAAGGGCATGTACCTTGGTTGCGGGCATATCCCCAGTAGGGGGTGTGCAAGAGGCAGCTGATCGATGTCTCTCTCTCATCCATGTTTCTAGCTTTCTATCCCTCTCTCTTTCTCTCTGTAAAAAATCAATAAAATATATTAAAAAAAAAAACTATAAGAGAACATTAAAAAAAAATAATGTCAATTTTGAATGGGTTTCTGAAAAGTGACCCGGATGGGAACATGAGGAACAGAATGAGTTCTCTGTCATCACACTGGATCACGCTCTGAAGCGTGAATTCGTGTACGGGTGGGTGGGGGAGGGGCCGAGGGCAGTTGGTGGGCCAGCCCCGCCCCCCGGTGGAACTCCTGGTTGAACTTTCAGTGGAGGGGACAATTTGCATATTAGCCTTTTATTATAGAGAATATTCTCGAGATATTCATTGTATTTTTTAATGCAATATTTGACTGTGGATGTGACATTTTTACTTCATAATAGTACTTCATAATAGGGCTGGCGTTTCTAAAAATGTTGATTTAGCTGTTGTTCCTTTCTGATGTTTTTGTCCACTTAACGCGTGTTGAGGAGGCGAAGGCTCTACCACATGTGTGTGTTGTCCAGCTGTCCCTGTGGCCCCATAGCTCCTGTGTTCACACAGAGCAGCACGGACATTCACGCGGGCCAGGCTGTCCCGGGCCCTGCACTGTTGGCATGACGCGCCCGCTTTCTCCCCGCTAGCTTCTCAGAAAGCCTACGTCCCTCCCGCCTGGTGCTCACAGCAGCACCGTTGCCCTTCTGTCTGTTTCTCTGGACTCGCCAGGTATTTTCAGTCTCTGAATCACGCCTAAGCATCTTTATTGTGGATAGCATTACAGATGTCTTCCACTTCCCCCCTCTCCCCTCCTCCCAGGCCCTCCCACCCCAGGCCTTCACCCCCCTATTGCCCGTGCCCCTGGGACGCGCGTGTAAGTATGAAGTGCCTGGCTCATCTCTTCTCATGAATCGTGTGTTCGGGTTTGCATTTTGCCGACCTCACAAAGAGGGCTTAACTTGGGATCCAGTTAATATGGAAGTGAAGCCCTCTGCTTATATGGACCAGATGCGTTACATTTAATTCTGCCAAATCCTTTTTGTGTCATTTTTTTTACTGCTGTTCAAACCAAGTATTTTGTGGTCCTCCGTGTCCCTGGAACCCTCGCGCACCGGGATTTGTTTCAGCAGCTCCGCGGCCACTGCCTCTGCCGGTGTCACGAGTGACACCCGTGTTGCCCAGAACAAGGGCCGTCTCCGCTTCAGCCACGGAGCGTGTGACCGGGACCCCGTCTGCCCGGGAGCGTTTCTCTTCTGTCTGCTCCCGAGATAACTCACACATCTTGGTCTCCTTCTACCACTGGCCTCGCCTTCCTGCTCTGCTTCTTGGCACATCCCGCCAGAACCCAGGCCCCAGGTCCTTCTCTCCCACCCCCTCCCTCTTCCCGGGTGGATCCCCCAGTTTTGATGCTGCCGATGCTCTCAGTGTGTAGACCAGGCTCATGGCTGCACCTGCCTCCTGGTCTACAGACTCACGGACCGAGTCGTCCGCCCACACTTCTGCATGGATACCTGATAGAATCCCAGTCTTGCCAGGCCAGTGTGGCTCAGTAGTTGAGCATTGACCTATGAACCAGGAGGTCATGTTCAATTCACGGTCAGGGCACATTCCTGATTGTGGGCTCGATCCCCATTGGGGGTGTGTACAGGAGGCAGCCAGTCAATGATTCTCTCTCATCATTGATGTTTCTCTCGCTCTCTCCCTCTCTACCTTCCTCTCTGAAATCAATGAAAATATACTTTAAAAAAAGAATCCAAGTCTTCTATTACTAACACTGATCTTTTGATTTCTCTACCTATTGTGTCCTGTCTCATTCTTTCCCCCGGTTCACAAACAGTGGGTGTGACTCCATTCTTCTCAACGATGAGGAAACAGAACAACAAAATAAAATAAAATTGAAACCATCCTCGACTCCTACATTTAGAGCCAATCAGAGAGCACATCCTGTTGGCTCCAGTTCCATGCACACCCAGAATCCTTTGCCTTCCCACGACCTTGGCTGGCTGCTATTTTAAGCACGACATCATCTCTGGCTCGGACAATTGCCACGGCCGCCGAAAAGCCCCTGGTCCCACCCTGTCCGCTGCTTCCCCGCGGTGGAGCTGGGCCGCCATGGAGTGGCTTCTCCCCGTCAGCCAGACGGACCTTCACACACACGGCCAGACCTCAGCCCACCTCCCCCTGCCCAGCCCCCTGCCTTCCAGGGGACACCGCGAAACGCCCCCCGTGGCTATGTGGTAACTGACTCTCTGCTCTTTTTCTTTCTCCCTCCCTGCTGCACCCCATACTTCCCTGAGGTCCCTCGAACAGCACTGCCTTGGAACCCGTGTCCTCCCTGGCCACGGTGCCAGGACGCCTCCCATCCCAACCACCTCCCAGTTTGCCAGAGTCTGTCCACCGGAAGTGTGTGGCGCTTTCCTTCTCCTCTGAGTGCCAGCAACCTCTCTGGTTCCTTCCCTCAGAGTGAATTGAGCACAATATTTGGTGTGTTTTCCTTTTATATTTGTGTGAGTCACAAATATGCCCTCTTTAAAAAAGTATTTTAGAAATATTATTTTCCTAGTTTTCTTTCTGCTTTTCAATACAAAATCACACACTCTCTCTATACAAAAGGCTAGTATGCAAAGTGTCTTCTCGGGAGTTCAACCCTGAGACAGGGAGTTCGATTGCTCGCTAAGACGTACGCTGACCACCAGGGGGTGGTGTGGACAGGGTGGGTGACCAGTGGCAGCAGCAGGGCACTGAGGGAAAGGAGGGAGGGGGATGTGGGGAGAACCGGATCAGCCCTGATCACTGGCCAGGCCTAGGTCCCTATCTCTGCGCGAATTGGGTGCACTGGGCCCCTAGTATAATATAAGAAAGAAATACAAGTCCTTGCACATTTCCCTCTTTACGGGCATCCTTTTTCTTTTTCTTTCTTTCTGTCTAGAAAGGAATTTGCATACATTGTAGTTTAGTTGAAATTTTCTTACAAAAAAAAACCCAAATTCATAACTTTTAAAAATAGACTTTTTTGGAGTGATTTATGGGTTTATTAAAGACTTCAAAGAAGGTAATAGAGTTATAGTCAAGAATTTTAAGAAGTATTTCACTGATTGTTGTAAAGAATTATGTTTATAAGTTAGATTTTTCAGTACCACAATAAACATGAGTGAAAATCATCTTTAACTCATAACTTTAATATTTTCATACAATCAAAATAGAGAGATATACATTAAGTAGGCATAAGATGAGTTGTTTTAATTGATAAAATATCTTGAGTATGTTTTACAGATAAAAGAAATGATGGTTTCTATTAGCAGACTAAAACCAAGAGAAAATTAAGATAAGTTCACATTAAAAAAATTATTAAGCAATAAATACAGCACTACAGCTACCACTAAATTACAGAACAGAATGGATAGTTTATGAATAAATTGCACTAGAAAATAGTTTTAGAAAAGAAATGACAGATTAGACTTTTCAAAAAATTACAATGTAATTTTCACAAGCACTTGCAGAAAAATAGCAGTCTACATTTTAAAAGTTAAAAATTCCCAAAATTATTTTTTAGACACCAAAAATGTTTACTCTTAAAAATATCAATTATACCTTTTCTTTATGGGTAAGATACAAAGATGATCTCAATTAGCCATTCAGCTTTATAGAAGTCTAATTTTTAAAAATATTGTCCCTAAAAAAATACAGGTACAAAATTAACATGGATGAATTGAAAACTGTACAATAGATAAATCCTACACATAAAGAAAGTCTGATCTAAAGTTAATAAGAGCACAAAAAAATACTTGAAAACTGTAGAATAATTCAATAGAATACTAGCTGATAAGGTGACATTTTCTACTGTCATTTGTGGTTGAGACTGAACCGTTTGTCCAGGAGAATCTAAAGCATGGAAATAGGACCAGCGAAGGGTCTGGCACTTCCTTTGAATTAAAGTAGCGAAAAGTGAGTTAATTCGAAGGAATTTCCCTTCCATTGAGGCAGCAGAGGGTCCAGCACAGCCCATGTTCCTTTTCTGAGAGCGTGCTGTGAAGTCCACAAATCCAAACTTAGTGCAGTCTGAGCACTTATAAATGCATTTATAAGGTGGCCAGACCACTTAATATGTTCATCCTTACTGTGAGATAATTATCCTGGAGCATTTCAAATGGTTTCTGAAATGCTATTGACATAGAAAGCGTCACATGATCAGCTAGCATTACCTTAACTACCCTCGGAAGACGAAGTCACCAGCTTAGTCCTTGTTCCGTGACTGACCCGCTGCAGACCTACACGCGGGAGTGATGTCTCCTCCCCCATATCGACTTTCGAGGATTGGTGCTTTGTTTGTCGGCCCTTTCAGTAAAAAAGAGCATTAGAGAAATGGCCCCTTTAACTCAGTAGGCACACTTCCCTCCGTCTCAACTGAACTATTCTTTCAACACCTGGCAGCAAGTCCTCCTGATGCTATAGTCCAATCTTTCACCGACTTGTGTCTCCATCCATCATAGCTCTCTTAAAATATTAATATGTTGATATACATTGTATTCCTGTAGTTTTTAAAATAGCTTGGGACCTTTCAAAAGCCATACACCTTCATGCAGGATAAGTCAGGGAATTGATATTTCAGTGGGCTTCAACCCACAAGAGCAGAGAACCGGCATTTATTACAGTAGGTGCTGCTTATATTTTTCTGGATCAGAATGCAAGTTCATTGTCAACATAAAAAGAGAAATATGTCAAACATACCTACTAAGGTATGAGACACCAAGTCAATATGTCCAAGGAAACAAGGGTCTTGAGTTTGTTTTTAATAAATACCTTCCATCTCATCACTAGTTCCGCTGTCAAACGTCTGATGCTGGCATCTGGTTGTCTTGAATACACTTGGCAAATGTAAAATTCCAGACTCTATTTTATTACAAAAGCAGCCCAGACACAGTATCAGATATTAAGATGCCTACATGGCCACGTCATGGACTTGTGTTGAGGCTATAAAATAGACTAGCTGAATATTTACAAGCTCATTGTTCACAACATTTTTAAAAAATAAACTTCCAAGGAGATAAGAAGCCCTCCATTGATCGTCCTGATGTAAAACCCTTGCTCATCTGTCTACACAGTAGAGACGGAGGGCAAGTCTTTATTACAGAGACAAGAACATGCCCCCTTCCTGCGGGTGGATAGGAAAGGAGCAGGGCAGCAAATCAGCGGATGAGGGTTTTGTGTTGCCAACCGAGATGTCTCCCCAGTGACACGGAAGCGGGGCTGCACGTCACACACACTGTTTACGTATCGAGTCTCGAACACGGTGTGACACGGGGCGGAACGGATGGGACCGAGGATGAGGCCCCGGGAGGACTCCGCTTTCCTGGGAAGAAGAGGGCAAGCCGGCGGGTCCCTTGGGAAGGACAAACACAGAAAGGCCAGCATTCCCTCTGGACAAAGAGTCAGCATCACCGGCCCCGGGGAGGACAGTGTTTAAACAAACGAACGAGCAGCCAGTTTCCGCGCCAGGGCCACGGCCTGCACTGCGTCTGTGTTGGCAGCAGCAGCAGATTCGTGCCCAGCGGGCAGACGAAGAGCTGCGCTTCGCTCCTGTGTGAAGGCAGCAGTGCCTGCGACCGGCGGCTCCAGCTCAGTGCCGCCAGGCTGGCAGCCTGACATCTGCCGCAGGGCGACTATCACCCCAGACTCTGCAGACCCTCAGGTCATGGCTCCCCACCCCACAGAGCCGGCTGCTCAACACGGATCAGCGCATGACTGGAGCCCGGCCAGCGGGGCTCCGGGGCTGAGCATCGACCCATGAACCAGGAGGTCACCGTTCCATGCCCGGTCAGGGCACAGGCTGGGGTGCGGGCTCCATCCGCAGTGTGGGGCCTGTGGAAGGCAGTCAGTCCATGATTCTCTCATCACTAATGTGTCTGTCTGTCTGTCTCTCTCGTTCTCTCTCCCTTCCTCTCTGAAATCTATGTATTTATATTAGAAAAACAAAACGAAACAAAAGCCAAGGGACTGAATTCGTAGGAGGGCTCTCGGTGGCGTCAAGAAATTCACTTAACATCGAAGTCTTCCGGTTGTAAAGTCATGGCTCGGAGTCCGGGGCTGAGAGTGCACCGCGGCCGGGCCGGACAGCCTGCCCTACTGTAAGATGTAGTCATTCAGCTTCTCCGGCTTGAAGGCCACGTTCTCCATGTCCTGGGCGCTCTTGCCGTTGGAGTGCTCGCTGGAGAAGTCGTGGCTGTACGCCGTCCCGTCGCTGATGGTGGACACCGTGTAGGACGCGCTGCGGAGGGCGTCCGAGTGCGCAAAGCCGCTCCCAAACTGGATTCTGTATTGATTCCAGTTCCTCCTGAGAATGGCCTGCACCTGCCAGCCAAGAGGACACAGAAAGAACAAGAGCAGTCCGTTTTTTGAAATGAAGATCCTGTGTAACACACCCTAAGTTCTATAGAAAGGCTTTTAAAAAAGGCATTAATGTTAGTGACTAATGTTACCTTTCCCTTTCTTTTTAAAGAATGACCTTTATTGTTGAAAGAATTACAGATGTTCCATCTTCCTTCCCCACTGACCCTCCCCCCCCTCCTTTCCTAGGCCCTCTGCCACCCATTCCTGTGACCATGGGTCATGCAGAGAGGCATATAAGCTACTGGGTAATCTCTCTCCACCCACACCCCCACTTTGTAAACCTAATTTAAGAAATTAAATTGAGTGAACCATCTTCATGTGAGGGAATCATTGCTCTCACTCTGTGCTTGTAGTTTCCATTAACATTTCCTTTCCATGCCTTAATTTTGAAGCTTTCCTAATGAATATGAATGCATTGTTGTAAAACAAATAATACGGACGCCATTGCAGACTTGTGTGTGTGCAACTCTGACGTTTATCACAATGTCTTTAGAAGCAGAATGAGATGATGAGTGAGAGTATAAAAGAGCGACAAGAGAGAAAATAAAAATAAATAGGAGTACAGGGAATATGAATCATTATCATCATCACCATCACCACCATCATCACCACCATCATCTGCTCCATCACCACCATCATCTGCTCCATCATCATATCCAACAGCAGCACCACCTTTTACTGAGTGATTAGCATACGCCAGGGGTTGAGCTACCTTCCGGGGGGAAAGAGCAGGGCTTGTCCTCATGGCGCTCACTCCTGGAGGGGAAAGGTCCCGAACAGGTCATTACAGACGCGATGAGTGTTGGGAAAAACCAGACAGGCAGTGCTCCGGTGACTTTGGTGTTAACGGAGCCTCCAACACTGGTTGATTTTCTTCAGACTGAGTCCGAGGGCCCAGGACTCCCCTCCCACTCGACACCAGGTGTCTGAGGAGGGAGGAGACTGGCTCGGGGACATCTGTTCCTCATTCTAAGTCTCTCAGCCACATTCCAGTGACGTGACCTGTGTCTTTTCAAGCATGCACAGCTTTAAACCATCTTCCTAGCCCAGCCTAGCGTGGCTCAGTGGTTGAGAATCGACCTACAAACCAGGAGATCACTGTTCGATTCCTGGTCAAGGCACACGCCTGGGTTGTGGGCTTGATCCCCAGTATGGAGTGTGCAGGAGGCAGCTGATCCATGATTCTCTCTCATCATCGATGTTCCTCTCTCTCTCCCTCTCCCTTCCTCTCTGACATATAAATATATAGTCTTCCTCAAGCTCCCCTACTTTTTGGGCTCCATTGAATACTTTCTCAAAGACAGTCTGCGCATCTGACTCTCCTGCTAATTCAAGCCCCTCACTGAGCTTGTTTAAAAGATGGGCTGACTGAGGACGGTCACTCGATAGTTTCCGAGTGGAAGGAAGTAATAGAATGCCACGGAGTGCGGAACGTTCCACTAAATGTGACCGAGACCTGGCAGGAAGTCACACCTTCGCTGTGAATGTCGTGCTCAGAGACTAAAAGGAAAGCGTCAGCTCCCAAAGCCCAAGTGGTTTTTGAACTTTCTGACTGTTCGCTCTTCAGCTGCCTTGATTAGGATCAGCACCGTGGCTCCTGTCATCTCACACACACACTCTCTCACACACACACACTCTCACACACACACTCACACACACACTCACACACACACACACTCACACACACTCACACACACACTCTCTCTCACACACACCCACTCACACACACACTCACACACACTCTCACACACACACACACACACACTCTCTCACACACACTCACACACTCACACACACACTCTCTCACACTCACACACACACACTCACACACACTCTCACACACTCACACTCACACACACTCATAGACACTCACACACACACACATACACACACACATACACACACACACCCCATGGACGTTAACCAGGAGCCGAATGAAAGCCTATCAGCCTCGTAGGCTTCTGTTTGTGGGTATTATCCTCCATAAAGACGCGATGCTTTTCATTGCTCCCCTTACTACAACTTCACACCCGCTCCACAGGTGTGAAAGCGGCCACTTTTAATTAGAAAACGTTAATAGGGAAAGGTAACGAGGAAAAGTGCCACTGGACGGGAAGACAGCCTGAAGTTATTAGAGATATTAAAATACTTTACATGCGTGTTACATAAATAGCAGGGCCAACTGTTTAGAGTATTACATTACAACTCCATGTGCCCCTTAGCAGCTGATGAGAAACCAATGCTGTACTCAACCTAACCCGATGAGAAGGTGGTTAGCGGAGCTTCATAAAAACTCTGCCCGCTTCTCATCACAGCACTGGGGTCCTGTTATTCTCCACACGATCGTGGTGACTTTGAGAAAATAACTGCTCTCAAGCGTTGTGAGCGTTCCCTGGCCAGGCCCTGCTCTGCCTGGAGATCCCAGTCTATGCACACAGGGCACCTTTCTGTCCCCATGGACCAGAGATGAGAGGAGAGAACGTGCACAGTTATTTCACTAGTGAGAAGTGAAGTGCGAATAGACATTTTGTGTAAGAAATAAAACGCATAGCATGTGAGAGCAAAACAAGAGCAGAGACAATGAGCTACAGCTAGCGATTCGGCCTCAGGTGGGCAGGAGGGAAGGGGTCCTCTGAGGACGGCTGTGAGGAGCACAGGACACCCTCGGAGCCACGCGCCGAGTCTGGCGGCTGCGTGTCCGCGGGGTGAGAGTGGAACACGGAGAGAGACAGTGAGGGCGGCGATGCGGTTTCTCAGGAAGAGAGTGAATCAGGCACAAGCAGGGTTACAGCTGAGGAGACGGAGCGAGGGACAGCTGCTGCAGATGGGAGGAACCGGAGGATTTGGCAATGGCACGGCTCTCGGATGTTGTAAGACTGGAACTTCTCGCTGCCAGGGCGCTCTCTGTGTGAGGACGTGGCCGCAGATCAAAGCTCGTCCCGTTTGCTCAGACAGCGTGTGACCGTGCTGGCCACGGGAGAGGTCATCCGGACCCTTTTTCTAAATTAAAGGGCCAATTGGAGATTTCACTCCGTGTGGTTAATATTTCCCTTTTCTAGAGTATTTTTGAAAATGAGTGACTCAACAAACCTAACAAGGAACCTAGTATGTACGGAGGGTGCGCCACGGGGCTAAACCCTTTAGATCCCTCGCTTCCCTCAGTCCTCAGGAGACCGGTGTGAGCAGCTTTATGTTCTGTAGGGTTAGGGCTGTGATAGGCAAACCGCGGCTCCAGAGCCACATGTGGCTCTTTGGCACATTGAGTGTGGCTCTTCCACAAAATACCACGGCCTGGGCCAGTCTATGTTGAAGAAGTGGCGTTAGAAGAAGTTTAAGTTTAAAAAATCTGGCTCTTAAAAGAAATTTCAGTCGTTGTGCTGTTGGTATTTGGCTCTGTGGACTGATGAGTTTGCCGACCACGGGGTTGGGGTGTTGGCCAAGCATCCATCCAGAACCTAGCAGGATCTTGGGGTTTACATGCATCGCCACATATGTGCTTTTACCCCTGCTGCCTCCTTCACCACAGATTGTATCAGCGATCACGTTTTGTACATTTCCAGTTTCCCCTTATAAAAATCACACATGTCTCTGCCAATGCAGAGGTGTATTTTCATACTTAACACATCCTTTGCCTGTCGTCCATCTCCCTCTCATTTGTGTTGAATGATAAAGTCCCATGTAGGCAGTAAACAAGACCGTCTAATTCAGCTCATACAATGTTATGTTTATAGTGGTACCTACAGTGGCTACTGGAGTTTTATTATCAAACACGATTTATCTTTTTTCCTTGGCTGCGTGCTCTGTCTGTACTTCTCACTGACATTAGCCAACGGCCGCCAGGCCTCTAGAGAGGAGACCTGGCCGTACCGTGTAGCGACGCTCAGTGTGGTCGGCCGGTTGTAAGTCGCTACAGAAAACAATGCCTCTGCTCACAAGTTCAAACACATGTCCACTTCCATTTAAAAAACAAACTTGAGTCAAAACCGGTTTGGCTCAATGGATAGAGTGTCGACCTAAGGGTCCCAGGGACTGAAGGGTCCCAGGTTCGATTCCGGTCAAGGGCACGTACCTTGGTTGTGGGCACATCCCCAGTAGGGGGTGTGCAAGAGGCAGCTGGTCGATGTTTCTCTCTCATCGATGTTTCTAGCTCTCTATCCCTCTCCCATCCTCTCTGTAAAAATCAATAATATATATATATATATAAATACAAACTTAAAGTTTCCCTCCTTGCTAGGAGGGAGAAGTGAAAGACGAAGCTGCAGAGAGCGATAGCTGATCGTCTCTGAGATGCACCGGCTGCCAGCGCGGACGGCTGGGGGGCCGGTCCTTTAAGGTCTCACTAACTGCTTCCATGTGCTCCAGCCGGAAGCTCCGTGATGAGCTCACAGTGACCCAGTGTCCCCGGCTCGCTCACTGCTGCCTGGATTTCTAAACGAGGCTGAACTTGCCAGGAGCCTCCAGCAGGTTACAATCTGCCCAGTGGATTAGGGACCCTCTGAACCGGCAGAGCTCAGAGGGCTGTGCACCATGCAGGCCAGGTGGTGGGAGACTGAGCCCCGCGGGGCCAGGCCCCGAGGCCCCTGCACTGGGCAGCCCGGGACACACACACACACACACACACACACACACACACCCACTGAACGCCCAAGACGGCGTTGCTGTTTCAGGCCTCAGAGCTGGCTCTCCCTGGCCTGCCCACTGCGCTCCTCCTCACATACCCGCCATCTCCTTCTCAGAGATGCTCTGGTTGGCCATGGCTGCTGCCAAACACCACCCGAGGGCCAGGCAGGGACACAAACAGAGCAGAGGAGCGGGGAGAACAGAGGGGCGATGTCCTTCTGGGAGCAGCGGGAGGGCTGCCCCAGGTCAGCGCCCGGGGGGACGGGTCACCTTCAAAGGCAGCCCCTGCTTGGACACTGAGCGCCTGGCGGAGGAGGACCTCAGCGTGCGGCTGGCTGTCCCGGCCTTGACCCCCCGGTGGCCTGCGCTTCGGGGAGGAGGGCGGCCCCTGCGGAGAGACTCGGGTTCTCTGTCCGGGAAACGACATTTGGGAGAGTTGCTCCCGGGGAATCCACAATCCTGCCTCCTGGCTCTTGTTTGGTTGTTATTTTCAAAGAAAAAGGAAAACGTTGCTCCTAGGAGCCCATCAGAGGAGCACGGTCAGCCACCTACCTCTCCGTTAAAGAAGCAGAAAATCGTCGAGACCAGAAGACCCTGCGGGAGGGAAACAGGGCGATCTGACTCGGAGCAGAAGGGGCGGCCCAGGCTCCGCCCGCCCGGCCCGGTCCGGCGGGAGCACCCGGCTCGGCCCCGGCCCCGGCCCCGGCCCCGGCCCCGGCCCCGCCCACCTGGTAGTGCATGAGGATGTTCATGACGTAGTCGTACACCTCCTCCACCGGCCGGCCCTCCGGCCGCCAGGGCAGCAGCACGAACTGGATGCCCAGCAGCGGCACCAGGATGAGGGTGGCGCGCACGGCCTTCATGTACAGGTGCGACTCCGCCTGGTGCGTGACCTTGAGCTTCGTGATGAGCACACGCACGATGTTCAGCAGGAAGAAGAGGTTCACCTGGGGGAGCGAGCGAGCACGTGGGGCCCCGCACGGAGGAGCCCACGCAGCACACGCCAGGCCCACACACAGCACACGCCAGGCCCACACGCAGCACACGCCAGGCCCACACACAGCACACACCAGGCCCACACGCAGCACACGCCAGGCCCACACACAGCACACACCAGGCCCACACGCAGAACACGCCAGGCCCACACGCTACAACACACGCCAGACCCACACGCTACAACACACGTCCTCTGTGATTTCAGAACCGAACGTGAAGTTTTATTTTCAATAAACCTTTATTGTTGAAAGTATTACATACGTCCTCACTTCCCCCAGCCCTCACCACCTCCATCTGTGTCCATGGGCTACGCACACGCACATGAGCACTTTGGTTGATCTCTCTCCCCTCCACCCTCACCTCCTTCCCTCTGAGGTTTGACGGTCTGATCGAGGTCTCCCTGTCTCTGGTGCTATTTTTGTTCATCAGTTTACATTGATCATTAGATCCCGCAAATGAGTGAGATCATGTGATATGTGTCTTTCCCCGACTGGCTTGCTTCGCTGAGCACAGTGCTCTCCAGGTCCATCATGCTGTTGCAAATGGTAGGCGTTCCTTGCTTTCACCGCAGCGCAGAATTCCACTGTGTGGATGTGCCACCGTTTTCTAACCCACTGTCTGCTGATGGCAGGTGAGCTGTTTCCAGATCTTAGCTGTGCTGAGGTGTGCCGCTATGAACATAGGGGTGCGTATGCCCTGTCTGATGGGGGTTTCTGGATTCTTGGGATCTATTCCTAGAAGTGGGATCACGAGAGTCCAACCCCCTTTTTTTGATAAAACTCTCAGCAGAGTGGGAATACAGGGCTTGCACCCGAAGTTCTGCTCGCGCTCAGAGAGGAAGGGGAGCGTCTCGGCGTTCCTGAGGCGCCTGGCCCGGGCCGGGCTGGGCGGGGGAGGCGGGGAAGGGTCCCCGGCGCTGTAACTGCCAGGGGACTCTCCGTGTCCAGCACAGGACGCGCTGTGTTTCCGGAAGGCTGGTTATTAATTTAGCAGGTGCGTCGACTTTAAAGGACGCGGTGTGAGGAGCAGAATGATGGCAGCGTTATTGTGAAGCACGCTCCGTTGACGGGGAGTGTTTTTCTCAGCTCTGTTCCTAGACAATTCTTTTTCTCAAAGGCTTATTTTGGTTCAAAGACTCAAGCTTTTAAATAGTCGCGGCTCAGACAATGGAAATGTTTATTTTTAACACGTTCTAATCCTCACGTGTCTCCTCCGGATCGGGGTCCAGGTGTCCATATCTGGTACTTTCCAAATATATGTTGTACCGTAGTAACCATGTTCATCTTTTTGGTTGACCCTGTCTTTTTTTATTTTTATTTTTTGGTAATAATCCTCACTCCTCCTCCAAAATAGAACTGTGATCCCTTTTATCCTTAGACCAGACTGAATCCCACATTTGAACTAGTTGATATTCCATCTACGTCCTCCTAGAGAGTTTTAAAAATTGGCCACCCACAGGCCTTCTGTTCTGTTGATCACTTTCTGTGATTACATACGTCCTGTGTGCTAATGCTGTTCCCCAGGAGAAAACATTCTCATTGAAAGGGAGACAGAAAACTTGCAAAATAAAGAGTCACTAACCACGTTTCCCAGAAAATGGACAGTTCTGCTGAAGGACGGCCCGCCCCCTGGCTATCACTTCCTCTCCGGCTCCAGCCAAGTCACCGCTCCCTCTGGTCTGTACTTTCTGCCCTCCGCCCCCTCCGCCTCCAGGGACTGTGGCCGTGAACTCCGGGGAGCCGGGCGGGGCGGGGAGCTGTCCTCCCCCCCTTCTCCCTGCATGCAGCCCCAAAGTTGAACCCAAACGCTTCCCCGTGACACCCGAAGTGCCCGCCATCTGCACACTAACACCCCATGGCGGCGGCACCTCACTTCCTGCAGGAAGCGGTGACTGAGATGGAGGCCTGTGAGGCGGAGATAACGGGCTGACTGCCCACCCCTGCCCTCAGCGGGGCCAGGGGGACACAGGCTGCAGGGACACAGGGGGATACAGGCTGCGGGGACACTGCCCACCCCTGCTCTCAGGGGGACCAGGGGGACACAGGCTGCGGGGACACAGGGGGACACAGGCTGCAGGGACACTGCCCACTCCTGCCCTCAGCGGGGCCAGGGGGACACAGGCTGCAGGGACACAGAGGGACACAGGCTGCGGGGACACAGGGGGACACAGGCTGCGGGGACACAGAGGGACACAGGCTGCGGGGACACAGAGGGACACAGGCTGCGGGGACACAGGGGGACACAGGCTGCGGGGACACAGGGGGACACAGGCTGCGGGGACTCAGGGGGACACAGGCTGCGGGGACACAGGGGGACACAGGCTGCGGGGACACAGGGGGACACAGGCTGCGGGGACACAGGGGGACACAGGCTGCAGGGACACAGGGGGACACAGGCTGCGGGGACACAGGGGGACACAGGCTGCGGGGACACAGAGGGACACAGGCTGCGGGGACACAAGGGGACACAGGCTGCGGGGACACAGGGGGACACAGGCTGCGGGGACACAGAGGGACACAGGCTGCGGGGACACAGGGGGTCACAGGCTGCAGGGACACTGCCCACTCCTACCCTCAGCGGGGCCAGGGGACACAGGCTGCGGGGACACAGGGGGACACAGGCTGCAGGGACACAGGGGGACACAGGCTGCGGGGACACTGCCCACTCCTGCTCTCAGCGAAGCCAGGGGAACACAGGCTCTCAGCGGGGCCAGGAGACACAGGCTGCGGTGACACGGCCCCCGGCCCCCTGAGGGGAGCGGCTGCGGCCGGGAACGTCCCTGCTGCCGACAGAGCCGTGAGCCCGCGGCTGAGGGGCCGCCAGCGGCCACCCCCGCCCCTCGCCTCCCGGGCCGTTTGGAGGCTCTGACTCCATGGACGCGGCTCCCAGCGCACGGGGTCAAGGTCACACCGCCCTCGCCCGCTCACGCCGGGAGAGGACAGTCCCCCACGGGCCGAGGGCACTGCTGGTGCCGAGCGCCTCTGCGGGGCGGGGTCCGGGTCCGAGTGTGAAACCGGAACCCGGACCCGCACCCACTGCCCTTCCTGCCCGCACATCCGTGCTCCGGACCAACCGGCTCAGGAGGCTCATCGCGGGAGCTGGACCGACCCTCCTCTCGGAGCGACGGGGATGAGGGGGAGCGACGGGGATGAGGGGGAGCGACGGGGATGAGGGGGGGGGGTGACGGGGATGAGGGGGAGCGACGTGGATGAGGGGGAGCGACGGGGATGAGGGGGGAGCGACGGAGATGAGGGGGGAGTGACGGGGATGGGGGGGAGCGACATGGATGAGGGATGAGGGGGGAGCGACGTGGATGAGGGGGAGCGACGGGGATGAGGGGGGAGCGACGGAGATGAGGGGGGAGCGACGGGGATGGGGGGGAGCGACATGGATGAGGGATGAGGGGGAGCGACGGGGATGAGGAGGGGGCGACGGAGATGAGGGGGGAGCGACGGGGATGGGGGGGAGCGACATGGATGAGGGATGAGGGGGGAGCGACGGGGATGAGGAGGGGGCGACGGGGATGAGGGGCCAGTTACCCCATCGCTCATCGTGTTCCCTCGACTGCAGGCACAACGGTGTCTGCTGTCCCCGCCCTCGGCATGGCAGGAAGGCAGGAGGTGGGTGACTCAGCGGGTGGCAGGAGGGTTCGCTGACTGAGCACCCAGTGACCCAAAGTGTCTCCCCACCTGGACTCAGGAGGCGGGACAGCGGAGGGCGGAAAGGAAGCGGCGGTGGCTGAAGTCTTATTTATCAAAAACCAAGCACACACACATACACACACACACACACACACTCACATACACTCTCTCTCTCTCTCTCTCACACACACACACACTCACACACACACTCACACTCTCTCTCATACACTCACACACAAACGCACTCACACATATATGCACACACACACACATACTCACACACACACACTCACATACACTCTCTCTCTCTCTCACACACACACACACACACACACTCACACACACACTCACACTCTCTCTCATACACTCACACACAAATGCACTCACACATATATGCACACACACACACATACTCACACACACACACACACACACACACACACTCTCTCTCTCTCTCTCCCCTGAGGCCTGCCATCCCCCCTACTTCTGCCCTCTGCCATTGGCTGTGCTGGCCAAAGGGAGGGGCAGATCAGAGCAAGTGGGATGTAGGGACTCTGGGGGGAGGGGAGACGTGAGCATCTCTCCTCTCTCCCGCCAGGCTGAGGCTGAGGCTGTGGCTGAGGCTGAGGCTGAGGCTGTGGCTGAGGCTGTGGCTGTGGCTGAGGCTGAGGCTGTGGCTGAGGCTGTGGCTGTGGCTGAGGCTGTGGCTGTGGCTGTGGCTGAGGCTGTGGCTGTGGCTGAGGCTGAGGCTGTGGCTGAGGCTGTGGCTGTGGCTGAGGCTGAGGCTGTGGCTGAGGCTGAGGCTGTGGCTGAGGCTGAGGCTGAGGCTGTGGCTGAGGCTGAGGCCGTGGCCGTGGCCGTGGCCGTGGCCGTGGCTGTGGCTGAGGCTGTGGCTGTGGCTGAGGCTGTGGCTGTGGCCGTGGCTGTGGCTGTGGCTGTGGCTGTGGCTGGCAGCGCCGGCCCCTCTGCCCGGCCCAGCTCCTCCCAGCTCCTCCCACAGCACCTGTGTCCCTGCTCCTGGCTGTGATAACGGCTTCCGCTGGGTCTCCCCCAGTCTCCCCATGACTGAGCTCTCCCTGCCCACACCCTAACGCACAGCGCCCCTCCCCCGAGCTCCGGCACGGACACGCGTGAGGCGGCAGCGGGTACCCACCAGCAGGGCGGCGCAGATGGGGCCGTGGATGATGTAGAGCAGGTGTGTGTCGGAGCTGATCCAGCACCTGCGGGCGGACAGAGAGGGGGTTAAAGTTTTGTTCATCCCGTCCCACCGCGTCCTGTCCCTTCCCGTCCCGTCCCGTCCCTTCCCGTCCTGTCCCATTCTATCCCTTCCCGTCCCGAGGGAACCAGAAGGGCTGTCTTACTTGTCGTTGTAGTACAGGCTTCTGCCCACGGCGTGCGTGCAGGCGGGGATCAGCGGGAACCCTGTCAGCGACAAAGGGACAGACAGGTGGGGACCCTGGTGTGTCAGGACTGCGGCTCCGGGGGCGGGGCGGGGGCGGAGCACCATCCAGCCCCACTGAGCGAATGCGACCGTGGCCAGGCCGTTCTCGGGCGGAGTGAGTGACTGCCCGACACGGCCGTTTGGGTCCGCGGGCCCCGCACCTGATGCAGGGACTCGGACACGCAGGGCCCAGGCCCGGGGAAGGCCATCCCTCGGCTCTGTAAGAAGGAGTGGCTCCGGGCAGGGCGTCCCATGGGGACAGGTGGATTGAGGGACTCACTGCACAAGGAAAGAAGAGGAGGGAGGAGAGGCCACAGGGTTTGTGCAGTTTGAGCTTCTAAAGACGCTTGGAAAAGTGGCCTGAGTGCGCATCAGCCTGTCTGCTGTCTGACCAGACACACAGGGAGGTGGATGGATGAGCAGAGAGACTGGTAGGTGGGTAGGTATGTGGGGAGAGAATGTGCCATTTCAGTGATGTTTCTGGAAACTAATCCTATTGAACTTCTCGTTAGCATTTCCTATTTCGCCTTATTCCTGCTCTTCCCTTTAAATGCTAGAGATGTACACTGTCTGCTCTGTGGATGACACCATGTCAGGGGATCGTGTGGAAAAGGGAGGTATTTTGCATGCTCGTATTCAGTAACGGATCTCTATTCTCTTAGGTCAAATGACAACATTGTTGTTTTTTAAGAAAACATTTAAAAAATGGGAGGTCACGCCAGCTGAGCCCCATGCTCTTATTTTGCACACGAGGCAGAGGGAGGGCCGGAGAAGTACAAACACTCGATCCCCATCCATTACCCTAATGCTATTGTTTTAGTCCCGCGTGGTCGGCCAAGATCCACACGGAACATTCATAGGAGGAAAGCAGCGCCTTCGCCGTCGGCCCCGGCTGGCCCGAACCCTGAGCCGGGGCTGTAATTCCAATACCGCCCTCCGCGGCCCTCAGCGCGGGCGGGTCCCCTGGCCCAGCGCTGGGCAAACTCATCCACAGAGCCAAATACCAACAGGACAGCGATTGAAATCTCTTTGGAGAGCCACATTTTTTAAACTTCTTCTAACGCCACTTCTTCAACATAGACTCGCCCAGGCCGGGGTCTTTTGTGGAAGAGCCACACTCCAGGGGCCAGAGAGCTGTCTGTGGCTCTCGAGCCGCAGTTTGCCGACCACGGACCCGGACCGACCCCCTAATTTCACAGTTAAAACATAGGTTTAGGCCTATATTCACTGTATAAGACTACCCCCCACTTCTGAGGCAACACCAGTTCTTTTTTTCCTTTTTTTAAATATATATTTTATTGATTTTTTACAGAGAGGAAGAGAGAGGGATAGAGAGTTAGAAACATCGATGAGAGAGAATCATCGATCAGCTGCCTCTTGCACACCCCCTACTGAGGATGTGCCCGCAACCAAGGTACATGCCCTTGACCGGAATCGAACCCGGGACCTTTTAGTCCGCACGCCGATGCTCTATCCACTGAGCCACACCGGTGCCTGCCAGTTCTTTTTTTAATAGACAGCCTCTCTGACTGGCCAATCTGAGCAGGCTATTATGCATGCACATTACACATGTTCTGTGCCCAAAGCTACACTGTATTCTAGTAAAAAGCCTGCTCAGATCGGCCAGTCAGAGAGGCGGTCTATTGAAAAAGAACTGGTGTTGCCTCGGAAGTGGGGGGTCGTCTCATACAGCGAATATGGGCCTAAACCTATGTTTTAACTGTGAAATTAGGGGTTCGTCTTATACGCCGGAAAATACGTAAAAAACGGTGAATAGTGTTTGTTCAGATTACAAAGGAGCTACACCCTCGCACGCAAGCACGTCCAACTCAGAGGCTAACTCGGGCCAGACAACCGGAGCCGGGGCCCGGGGCCGTGGGTCTGACGCCCGGCTCCACGGGACAGAGGCAGGGCGCGGGCGCGGGCGCGGGCGGCCTTACCCCAGCCGAGGAAGTGGTACCACAGCAGGTGCTGCTTCTCGGCGAACACGGCCACCACGATGAGCGTGTGCAGGTACACGCCCTCGCACAGCATCCAGAAGTAGTTGCAGCCCATCAGGTAGAGGTGCAGGAACTGGGACACCTTGCAGCCCACCTGGGGAGCGGAGCGACGTCGCGTCGGCTGTGCGCTCAGGGGCCCGTCCCACCGAGCCCGGCCGCTCAGAGCCGCGGGGCCTCCCCTTCTCCACCCCAGTCGCACTCGCAGACGATCCCGATTTCAGCAGCCGGGTGACTCGATCTCTGAAACCCCCACCTGCTACATACAGACACGCCCTCCCCCCCCAACTCCACCTCCACCTGCAGCAGAGATGCTTGTGAACCTGGTGAAAAAAATGTGACTTTAAAAACGTGTGTGTGTTTATTCATGCAGATATTTTAATTGAAATACGGCTTTCGTAGGCATACAGCTTACAGGAAACGTATACATCCGTGTAAGTCAATCTCAGCGCACGTTTCCAAACACAGCTTTATGTTCCAAGCCCCAGCCTACAGACTCCCTTCCCAAGGGATTGTGAGGAAACAGCTCATAAATGTTTGCTGGCACGGGAGGACTGGGAGGGCCCTTTGAAAGTTTTATGATGATAAAGTTTAACATTGTATAGGGGAAGCAGAATCTATTTTCCTCTGTTTTTGTTAATTTTAAAGTCAGCCTAATACCAAAAATAGGATTTAAATGTTCCATTTTCAAACAGTTTTTTTTTGTTTTTGTTTTTTATATCTTCTAACCATGTTTTTTTCTAACGGAGATTGATGTTTTAATTCCTTTGAGCAAAGGCTATATAGTCATAAACACTTACGTCCTACCAGTGGCAGGACTCGACCCATAAGTTGAGGAGAAGGTACGAGTAACATTTATAAATAATTGAAGCAAAAAGAGTGTTCTTCCTTTTAACATTGGATCATTTTAACTTGAGGAGCGCTGAGGTTTAGAGGGTGTCCCAGAAAGTGTATTCACACACTGTGAACAATTAAAGGCAGAGCTTATTAAATACATTTCATTTTCAAAATCAAACGACCTGCTGTTAAAAGTATAATATATGCACAGTTTTTGGGACCCGCGGAATTTACCTCTTTACATGCTCTTTGCATGCTCTCTGCATGCTCTCTGTATGTCAGGCCTCACAGTACACGACACACACACACACACTTAATTACACGCCCAGCACCTGTGTCGGGACCCCCACTCCCGGCATGGCCTTCCCCCCGACCCTTCCAGCCGAGGGCTCTCGCCTTTACTCACCGGATCCGTGGCCACCAGGGGCTGGTTGTTGGCCACGGCCGTGAGGTGGATGATGGTGATGATGGAGTTACAGACGAAGGAGAAGAACAGGTTTTTGTGCAAAGTAATCCTCTGGCAACTCAGGCTCCTACGAGGTAAAGGGAGAAGGAAGCGTGATGACATCGTAAGGAGCTCCCAGCTTTCCAGTGAATGATCGTTCAAATGAGACGCATTCGTCGTGCGAAACAGCCGCTCCTGCCACGGAGGACGGTTCCCCCCAAGATCCACTGGTGATGAGACCCAATGAGGGGGAGCCGGTGATCTGCAAACACAGGCCGACACGTCGCTCCAGGAGCAGGAGACAGACAGAGGGACGGGCGTGAGTCCCCCCAGGCTGCAACATAAACGTTTGTTAACCTCGCGAGATGATTGCTATTTTAATCCAGAAACTGAGACCCTCGGTAACATTGATAAAAAGTGCAGCTAATTAGCCTGGCCGGCGGGGCTCAGTGGCTGAGCATCAACCCACAAACCAGGAGGTCAGGGTTCGATTCCCAGTCAGGGCACAGGCCTGGGTTGTGGGCTCGATCCCCAGTGTGGGGTGTGCAGGAGGCAGCCGATCCATGATTCTCTCTCATCATCCATGTCTCTGTCTCTCTCTCTCCTTTCCTCTCTGAAATCAATAAAAATATATTTTTTAAAAATGGTAATTGATAGAAACTCTTGGAACTATAAAATATATCCACTCGGTCTTATTTTTAAATGCTGCCCTGAGCTTACCCAAGGTCTGTGGAGTACCGACAGCTGTTTAGGGGGAAACGGCTTCGCCATGGCAATCTGTACTTTTTTAGTATCATAATTGAAATAACTCCGCTATTAGCATGGGAAAAACACTCCAATGTTTTCCTTAACCGGGCTATTTCCGCCCTTCTGCTGGGCATATATCTGTATATACTGAGTGTATATACAGTCAGCCTAAATAATCCGCCCTCTCTAAGCTCCAGCCAAGCATCGGCTTTGGAAAGCCTGGGTTTGCAATGAGCTAGCTCTCCGTGTGTTTGCAATGAGCTGGACCTCGGCCCAGCCATCCTCAAGTGGTGGTTGTGTCGGGGGCCCGGCTGTGGCTGTGGCCGGCCGTGGCTGTGGCTGTGGCTGTGGCCGTGGCTTCTCCCTCCCTCCCTCCGGGTTCTGAGTGACTCACATGCAGACTGAGGCTCTCTGACGCGTGCTTCCCACCCGTGCCTCGTGGTAAAACGCCTGCGATCTGCCCAGGAGCGCATGCTGCTTGCTTCTAAGTACATCGTCACCACGTGCGAGTACATTCGTACCGATAAGATCGACTTGTCAAGGCAAACCGAAGCACGCGTGTGGGAAACACACTGGCCTGTTTTAACGAAACCCCAAAACATTCCAGATTTTCCACATGTGAACCGACAACCAGCTTCACCTACTCTGGGTTTTAAACGTGCTTATTTCTGCACAAAGTATTTTTTAAAATTGTCTTTTAGGCGTAGAGGATATTTTACAAAAACCCTCCCTCCTTGGCCTCAACGTTACAATCTCCCTCTCCATCATCACAGAACCCACAGGATAAAAAAAACGTAGTGTGTGGGTCTGTATTGTTTTCATTCCATGCTCTCTCCACATAATTATTCTAGAAATTACTTCAATATGCAAGTTTGACAAGCAGAGTGACAGAGGCAGTTGGTGTAAATGTGTCAACAAAGCCATTACACGCGTGTGGGTGTGTGTGGCTGGTGCGCTCAGGCCTCTGGCGGGGCGACCGGAGCAGGCGGGGAGCGGGTGCGTGCGGATCAGGGAGGCTTTGGAACTGACCCGAGCGGGAGCCACACGTTACCCGTCAGCCCCGGTCCTCAGTCCCCGTCCCCGGAGGTCCCGCAGTGCTCCCAGGACGGCCGGCAGGCTGCGGGCGGCACGGCGTCTCCTGCACAGCGTCCTCTCCCACACGTGGCGAACACCCAGGCTGTTCTATAATAACATAGCTACCCCGTGGCTGCTTTCCATTAGCTTCCCGGGTCTTCTCTCCCCACAAACAGCAAAAGAGCATCAGAGTCCACCTCAGCGATACAAAACCACCCGTCTCTGCCAGACCATGAAATGACGAGTCCGAATCGCCACCTATCATATGCTAATTAGACCGGACAGCCAAACGAACTTCCAGGTGTCCTTCTGGATGAAGCTGGCAGCAGGAGCCAGTGCAGAGGCGGTTAGGGGTAATCAGGCAGGCAGGCGAGCAACGAGGGGTGATCACGAGGCTAGGGGCGATCAGACCGGCAGAGCGGTTAGGGCGATGAGGCAGGCCGACAGGTGAGTGGTAGGAGCCATCGGTTCCTGGCTGTGAGAGGTATGTCCGACTGACGGCTTAGGCCTGATGTAGGCCTGGTCTAGGCCTGGACCATCAGTTGGAATTCTCGGATTATGAGAAGGTGCAGGCTGGGCTGAGGGAACCCCCTTCTCCCCATACACAAATTTTGTGCACTGGGCCTCTAGTTTAGTTATAAAACACGAGTAGAAAACCAGGTTGCGAAATATATTACGACTTCAAGGAGAAAGAACAAGTCGTATTACTTATGTTTTGTATTTCAAATGACAAAGTTCTAATCCGCTTAAACGAGCACCTAGTTTTTATACCAAACCACCGATCCTTAGGTATCTTAAACAATTTGTCATTTTATTCCCAGGAAAATGCAGTTATGCTTAAGTGGCGTTCATGTTTCAACTGCTCAAGCGAAATAGATAAAATATACTTATAAAGAAAAAAACGTCAACAGAAATAGCTGACCTTTAATAATGTTACAGCTTTTAGTAACAAATTTACTGTTTAGAACGAGTCCACATTTGTGAATCCGTTTGCTTTATATTTCCATGCTGGGGACTCTTCGCCATTAACCAATAATAGCGACTACAACATAGCAGAACTGGGTCTTACCGGTGTAAATCCATTACTTCTTTGTTTTCTCAATAGATTTTCGGAGAGAGAGGAAGGGAGAGGGAAAGAGGAAGAGAAAGAGGAAGACTGATCTGAGAGGGGAACATCTATCAGTTGCCTCCTGCTCGCAGCCTGGGCATGTACCCTGACCAGGACTTGAACCGACAAGCTGTGGGTGCCTGGGACAATGCCCAGCCAACGCCGCCGCGCCGGCCAAAGCAACCGCGGCTTCGTGCACCGCTCTGCCATCGCCGCACTGACATCCAACGTGGAAAGGCGGCGCCTTCCTCAGGTGAGCACCGTGGGCCCACGGAGAAAGCCTGCCAGCTAACAAGTAGGAGTGTTTCCGCCCTCACAGGCCCGTCAGAAGCAGACGGATTTCTCAGCATGCTGATGAACACCTGTAAATTTGGAAAAATACCTAATAAGTACGATCTGACGATCTGATAAAATAACATGTGGAAAAATATGGTTAATTAAATAGAATCTAAATGTTACGTAGAGGAAACCCTGCAAGGGATGAGGGCCTCTCTCAGGCCCTGGCACAGAGCACTTCCCGGGAACACGGGAATGGAAGGGACACGCGGGCGCAGGGTGTCGGCCGGAGAGGGTCCTTCTGGGACCGCGGTGGCCGAACCTGAGCTCGGCCCATCACACCTCAGCGGGGCCAGTTTGCCAGATTAAAAAAGAAACTGGAGAACGTTTTGATTTGCCAGAACAGGGCCATCATGGCGTAATCTACTGAGTCAGACTCTGTTCTCTAGGTTTCAATGCAGAATTCCTCTAAATAGTCAGTTTTGCTTAAAATGGATTTAGAGGTTGAATCGTGAACCGTCTCAGGAGAAAAGGTACACGTTAAGGAAGGAAACTATAATTGTTCTAATTCAAGAGATAAATGCAGACGCCGGACGTGAGGACAAAGTTCACAACATTGGTTGACTACATTCAGATAAGATCTAAGAAAAAAGGGAGGATTTGGGCCACTGGTCCTGAAAACAATTAGATAAACATCAAACGGTTATTTTACTTCGTTAAGAAAACTTGGGCCTCCTAATTAGACGCACGTTTTTTTTTTTTTTGCTAAGTTTCATCTACGAACGCTTCTCGACCGGCTCGAAATGACACCAGCGTGGATCTCGCTGTAAATGTGCAACTCGGCTTTCGCATTGTTTGGTGTCCGAGCCTGACTGTGAGCAGAGGGAAGACGGTGAGGAGCAGAAGGGCTCTCCGCGCTCAGCTCGGACGGTGCCCACGCCCTCGCCTGTGGAGGGGACGCAGCCTGCCTGGGCTGGAAGGAAAGAGCACGACAGGCTGAGCTCTCAGACGTGAGAGCGATTAACGCGGGATTTATAGCTGATTCTGGTGACGTTTATTTGTGTTTCTTTGTTCTTAAACCAAAGGGTTCTGTTCTGCTTTTCCAAGGATCATTACGAGCTGGAGTCATTGTCTCTCAGCACTTGGCAGGCCCGGCCTCTGTCTCTCTGGGCCCCTCCCTCTCGCTTCATCCCCGCCGGCCTCTGCCTGTAACTGGCTGTAATCTAAGACCCGGGTGTATCTGGTCACCAGCGTTTCATGTCCTTCTGTTTCCAATTTAGAGCGTGGACGAGGCGTCCACGTTCCTTCTTCTAAAGAAAGCAAACCGTGTCCAAACCAACTCTGTGTGTGGCTCCTGGTTTTTATTAGGATGGGCCCTGACCCTCCGTTAACAAACGGGGTGCGGGGAGCGGCGGCGGGGAAAGGGTTACCTGCACCCACGGCTACGCCGGGACGCCGCAGCACACAGAGCTGGGTTCGGAGCAGAAAGGCGCTCAGACAGATCCTCTTTCTGACACACAGCGATGTTGTGTGAACCGCCCGTCCCTCTAGGAATTGGCTGGAAGAAAACTAAGATCTGTATTGCTCTTGATGTAGGAACATGCTTCGTGAACCACCCACGTTAGCACGTTCCCAGGCGGCCCAGGCCTTCCTCTGATCTGGCCGCAGCCTGGCACACTCTGCCCCACAGATGCTTCTACGGAGGAGAAGCGTAAGGAGCCCTAGTGACGCTGGAGGCAGAAAGGCCGGACAAACGCCAGGGACTTGCCCAAGGTCGCAAGAAGTCATGGGAAAGTTCGCCGTACAAATAAGCGTCCCAGTCTGTGCATGCCTTCATTTCTCAAAAATGTATGAAGATTTATGGAAATGCTGATTAAAAACTCGTTAAAGTTTACTGCCTACCACGTGCAACGTCCTGTGCTAAGCCTCGGGGTGCACGAAGCAGCCAAGCCGAGGTTGCTACTCCTGCCCCTGGACGCTAACGCTGGGACATTCCTTGCATTGCTTCCCGTTTCAGCGGGCGGCTGTTTGCTGTAGATAGTGGCTTTGCTGTCTGAGTACACGGTTCTGGGGGGTATACCTCAGAAGTGTCTTAAAATCAAAGACAAGGAATTCTCTAATATGATTCAAGTACTGAGTAAGCTCTATGGAATCTTGTGGGCACAAAAATAGTTTTATTCTTTTTGACTAGAGTACTTTCTGGTATAAATATACCACAGAATTGGTTTATAACATTTTTTGTTCATTATTTAATCAGTAGAGGCCCAGCGTATGAAATCGTGCGTGGGTAGGGACCCTGGGCCATCTCCTGTCAGTCCCCAGTCCTGCCCCGCCGCTGCCACCATTGATCAGAGCCTGTGGGCCGGGGGGAGGGACCTAATGGTCTGCCTTCCGCCCGATCACCAGTCCCCAGTCCCGCCCCATCACGCAGCTCCCTGTGGTTCCCTGTTCGCCACGCTGTGAGTGGAGCCTGCGGGCTGGGGGAGTGGGGGGCAGGGAGGGAAGAGGGACTGAGAGGTGGTCAATACACCTCATAGCGACTGGTCCAGCAGTCATTCTGGTCGTTATGGTTGCTGGGCTCTTATTTATTATGTAGGATTTTTCTATATAAACATTATAACAACTTCTTTATCAATGTGGCACCTCTGAAACTAGCACTGAAACTAGGATCTTCGTTTTTAAAGATCCTAGAGGCATGCTGTGCCTCAGGGCTAGACATTTCTGTAGAAACCTCTTAAGGAACTAACAAGAAGGAGTGGTAACTATGCCAGTCACAGGCAATGCCTTCCAAACTGGGCCCTTGGCTTCCCGCTGCCTGTGTGTCTCAGTCTTCCTACCGCATCTGTGACTCAGGTACGGATCTCTCTGTGTCTGAAAGATGTGGAAACGAGGCATAAGGAAGGGCAGAAGGGTTGTGTGCTATGCCGCAGGGCACAGTGAGAGGGGTGCTTCTGCTTGGCCTGGGCTCTTACCCTCCCTCCTGTAATGAAGAGTGTCCGGACATAAAAACGATTTGATGCTCGGCTGGGATCTCACCTGAAGACGGTTTCTCATGCTTTACCTAAAGCCCAAGAAGGTGGGATAAGAAACATTCGCTTGTAGCCTTGCTTCTTTCTGTTCAAAGTCTCCATTTTTAAAAGACGGGGGAAGTCCAATGAGATGACCAGGCCACACAGAGAGGGTGGGGGCTGGGAGGAACCTGCAGGGCGCAGCGACCACTGGGAACCCCGTGAAACCAGGCGTCCGCAGACAGAACCTCTTTCTCTCACGTCTACGCGCCACCGCGTCTGCCCGCGGGTGTCTCCCCTCCCTCACCACGTGCCTCCGGACAGTCCCACCTCCGGGGCCTTCGATTCTGGGAATCAGCATGAGTTCTCTCCCCACTCTGCTCCCCGTCCCTGTTTCCCCAGAGCTCACTGGAACTCGGCAGGAACTTCTCTTAACCTTGTGTCACTAGCCTGTAGGAGCAATGATAGACGGCGACAGTGTGATCTGTGTGTCCACCCGATTGTATGGTCTCGTGATAAACCAATGGTCCAGTCTGTCTCCCAGGCAGTGACAGGTTCCTATGTGCCAGCTACCATCCGAGTCGTCTTTGCTCCGGATTCTGAACAGTATTCTGACCATTTGTAAAGAGACGGAAGCTCCCTAAAAACCGGCATCAGGAGTCCACGCTATCAGTTAAATGGTGACTGATTAAATGGTGAAGGCAAGATGAGGGTGTATTCCACATTGTATATCACTGCACTGCTTATCATTAAAATTGAGTGGCACCTGAAATTGAGTCCAGTCCTGTTATGCTAATTCGCCATTATAGGGTTGTTTTTTTGTTGTTGTTTGTTTTTTGTTTGTTAGTTCACTATAGTGGATGAACAGTTGTCCATTTGAGATGAACTTTAAGTATAAGCAAGGTAATCACCTGAACACTTTAATTTTATTTTTATACATTGGCAAGACACTCCTTTGCTTTAACTCAGTTTTGCCTCCATAGCATGCTAGCCATCTTATTATTTTTTTTTTTAAATGTGGAGGTTAGCACAGATACAGCTACTTACTGCATAGAGCACTCTTGATTTTTTTAGAAATTGCTCTTTTAAAAAATAGGCCTATTAACATGTGAAATAGGAGAAAACTATTTGGGGGGGAAATGGAATTTCTAGCCACCCTTTTAAAATGAGAAATGGTTCTGCAGATTGTATCGTAATGAAGCAGTGAGGAAGACATGACATCAGCTCCTCACTCTTCACATAGAATTCTGTAGTTATTGGCGGTGACCAAAATTATGAGAACCATGTTAATGCATAAAATAATAATACACACACACACGTATTTGGGAATTTACTTTCCTATTAATTAAAAAAAATCACTTGTTGTATCAAGAAACTAGAACTGAGTCTCCCTCCTCCCAAAATGACTGTTATTTCAAGTAAAATTAAATGTATAATTTAATCATTTTAATGATGATCCCCTACATAAAAAATGAACCATAGTACATTGATAGTTATTTTTAACCAGATATGGTAAATGCTATTGTTATCATTTGCACAAAATTCAGATCTCATAATGTACCACGTATCCGATATTAAAATTGACCCAAAAGCTGAAAATTCAACTCAGACGGCCTTTAATACGTGGCAGCTGGAACTGTCACAGGTGACTTCCTTCTGACGTTGCCGCTAATTTTATAAAGTTGTGGTTTTAGATAAAGTTGATATATTATATTACAAGTTATTCCAAGCACCCAATGTGCTTGACACATTGTGAATCATCTACATTTCACATGTTTTATCAGTACATAACACACCAGCTACACGGCACAGCACTCACCGAAGACAACCGGTAAGCTGACCCCATGCCACGTGTACTCACTTGAAATAAAAGAATATGCCGAGTGAGATGAGCAGCGACGCGATAGATAATCCATGTCCAATGATGGCCAGGTAGAACAAATTCAGCGCCGTCTGCAATGTAGGAAAAAAAAAAAAAGTAAGGCTTACGTCCGTACCGCAGTCCTGCACGTGCAGAAGACCCAGTCAACAGAAGGCACTGTGTGCTCACAAACATGTGACCCGTGAACTTCTCATCCAGCCTGCAAACCGAGCACATCTGGAGTGAGGGACATTGATGCGACCTCTCCAGAGACATCAACTCTTACCACTTGTGCGCCCTTCTCACGTGAGAGTCAGACGTCCTATAGCAAGTATTCTCAGGAATACTGTCATTGGTCTCGGTCAGCGGTCGGCAAACGGCGGCTCTGGAGCCACAGGCGGCTCCTTGGCCCCTTGAGTGTTCTAACGCCGCTTCTTCAAAACAGACCCGCCCGGCCGAAAACCGACGCCCGCGCCCGGGCCACGGAGTTTCCGTCCCGCTGTCCGTGCGCCCGCGCGTGGCGTTTTGTGGAGGAGCCACGCTCAGGGGCCCGAGAGCCGCCCCCCCCCCCCCGGACGCACCTGCAGCCGCTCGTGGGTGTTGGTGTTGCACCGCGTGTAGTTGGTCCACGTCCGGTTGCTCGCCGGGTGTCGGAACCAGTGTCCGTCCTGGTCGCAGATCTTCGTGACCTTCTCTGTAGCCGGGAAGAGGAGAGGAGGACCGTCCAGCGGCTCTCAGGGGCCGGGGGCGGGGAGGGCGGGGGCCGGCGGCCGGTACCTGAGGGGTCAAAGTCCTGGAAGTAGTCGGGGCAGTGCTGCACGGACTCGGTGCCGGCCGCCACGTAGTTCCAGCACAGCCAGCCGTCCCACGTCCGGTTGCAGTGCGTGCCTGGGGGGAGGAGAGGGACAATCCAGCGGCTGTCCCCGAGGGCAGCCTTTTAACAAACATACATGTACTTATCCATTCAGAGAGGAAGGGAGAGGGAGAGAGAGACATCCATGACGAGAGAGAATCACAGATCAGTGGCCTCCTGCACACCCCACACTGGGGATCGAGCTGGCACCCTGGGCCTGTGTCCTGACCGGGAATCAAACCTGGGACCCTTCAGCCCCCAGGCCGACGCTCTATCCACTGAGCGACACCGGCCATCCATAGTCTTGTTGGTGGGACGGAGGCTGTCTGCTGATGCAGACTCACGTGCACCCTGAGCCACGCACGGTCTGAGCGAGGGGTCACTGGGTGACGTTGTCGTTGTGCCCACAGCACAGAGGGCACTCTCACACCCCGAGGCCACACGGTGCGCCCTGCACACCTGCCCGTCACCGCTGACCGGGACGCCCGTGTGAGTGCGTGAGCGTGCAGGGGTTACTTCACCGTCACGATGAGAATAACCGGTCTCCAAGTTACAATGCAACGTGTCTGGATTTGTATGCAAATAGCTTAATGCTTGATCATTCAAGCCCTGTGGACCTAATATCAGATCGTTCGTCCTTGTCTGGCTTACTTTAAAGATATTTTTAACTGAATAAATACCTTCTAATAAGAATGTTCAAGCAGCCCTACTCGGTGTGGCCTCGGGTGTGAGAGTGCCCTCTGTGCCGTGGGCACAACGACAGCGTCTCCCAGTGACGCCTCGCTCAGACGGGCGTGGCTCAGGGGACAGCCGCTGGATTGTCTGAAGGGACAGTCGCGCTCACCTTCGGCGTGCTGGGCGGGGTCCTGCACGATTTTCTGGTAGCACTCATACTGCGCCGTCATGATCTTGTTTCTGGTGACGCTGAGCTTCCTCTGCTCGGCACGGCTCTGCTCTGGTTCCGCCGGGACGGGAACCTGCGGGATTAGGAGGAAGATGTCAGGGCTGAGCACAGGTCCGCCGCCGTGGGTTCTGCTGGGAAACGGTCAGGGCAGAGACCGAGGACCGCGCTCGCCGTCTCCATAGCGCCCGTCTCCGGTGGCAGGTCCTGGCTCGGTGAGGAGCAGAGCCGGGCCTGGCCGTGGGTCCTGGGCTCGGCTCCGGCTCCGGACGCGAGTGGCTGCAGACGGGCCGAGCACCGCTCCGAGCGCGGGAGGGAGGCCGCCCAGCCCGGCTGCCCTGCTCTCACCTGCGGAGACCCGGCCCACGGAAAGGCCCGCGGCCCCGCCAACACGCACAGTGGCTGTCCCTTTTCTAATTCTATTTGGGTCCTCAGGGTCGTGACAAGCTGGTCGGTGACGCGGGCGGGTAGTTTTATTCTGTGCGCGTCCAGGACGGCTTCCGAGGGCCCACATCCGGGCTCCTCCGTCCAGTGGGACCGTGGCCGCCGGCCTCACTTCCAATGTTTACGTGACCTTCTCTCCCCGTTTTGTCATGTGAAATCGGTATAATCCTCTCTTCAACCTCATCTCTCTTTTTACAACGGATTTTAAATGTTTATTGTTGATAGTATTTACAGATGTCTCAGTCCCTCTCCGCCCCCCCCCCACCCCCGTTACTCCCTCCGCCTAGCCCCCACGCCCCCCAACCCCCCGGCCTTCACCCCTCCCCATGGCCCGCGTCCATGGCCCGCGCACATAAGCATCTATGTTCTTTGGTTTCTCTCTCCTCACCCCCCTCCCCCAGTTCGAGGCTCGTCCGCCTGTTAACACCTCCCTCCCTCATCTCGTCGGTCGGTTTGCTGGCTCATTGGCCCACACATGAGGGAGCCGGTTGATGGGGTCCCTCTGCCTGCAGCCCTGCAGCCACGTCTCCACTGGCATTGCTGTGCTGACGGGTCCACAGCAGCTCTTCTCCTCTCTCGTCCCCGGTTCCCGGTGTCCCGTTTCCTCGCAGGAAGCTGAGTCAGGGAGGGCTGAACAGCCGCGCTCCCTGGGTGCGACCCCCTCCCCCCGCCGTCCACGGCCCCCACCAGGAATGCTCCCACCTCGGCTGGCCTCCGTTTCCCAGCAAACACGCAGGCGCCGGCCTGCCGCGCGAGTGGAAAGTGACCGCATCACCACGTCAAGGAAACGCAGGGTTGTTCTCTGGCTCTCGGAGTGTAGAGAGCCATCATTCTCACCCTCACTTAGCGTAAAAGCTCAGCCCTAGCTGCTTTGGCCCAGTGGGTAGAAAGCTGGTCTGTGGACTGAAGGGTCCTGGGTTCAATTCAGGTCAAGGGCACTTGTGGGCTCGATCCCAGTAGGGGGCCAGCAGGAGGCAGCTGGCCCACGATTCTCTTTCCTCTCTGATGTTTCTGTCTCTCTCTCCCTCGCCCTTCCTCTCTGAAATCAATAACAATATATTGAAAACAAATAAGGAAAAGCTCAGGTTGGCACTTGCTGTCCGAGGAGCGGTCCCAGCTGCTAAGCCACGCTGACCCGGCCGGCGGTCCATGACGGCGTCTCTGCCAGCCCAGCGCGGCGTGGGCACTCGGGGCCACGCTCGGGGCCGGGGGCTGACGGGTCCGGCTCCTGAGTCTGGTCCATTCCCCGAGAGGGCACTGGGCAGGGCCCCGAGGGCACCGGGCAGGGCAGGGCCACTGCTCCGGCCGCTCCCGGCAGGAATTCCGGGCTCACGGGCAGGAATGCAGCCCCGCTCTCCTCCGGTCCGTCCTCTGTTTTCCTTGAGCTCCTTTGTTTGCCTCTTGGTGGGTTTGCTTGGAAAGCCACAGGCCAAGTATGTGCTGGCACAGAGCCGAGGGGATCAGGTCCCTCAGCTCTCCTCCGGGGAACGAGCCCGGCCCCGGTTTTGACGGGGGACACGCTGGGCCAGGCTGGGGTCGGGGGGGAGAGGGGGGGGCCTGCCACTGTCCAGGCGGGTCCTCCCGCCTCGGGCTCCTCTGGGATCTTCGCGAGGGAATGCTGATGGCGCGGCAGGGTGAGTGTGCGGCAGAGAAACAGGTAGAATGTTGCTGTAAAGAAACATGAAATTGGGCCTGGCCAGTGCGGCTCCGTGGGTAGAGCATTGGCCTGTGGACTGAAGGGTCCTGAGTTTGATCAGGGCACAGGCCCGGGTTGTGGGCTAGGTCTCGGCTGCCTCCAGTGCATGCAGGAGGCAGCCAAGCCACGATCCTCTCCCATCAGTGATGTTTCTATCCCTCTCTCCCTTCTCCTTCTCTGAAATCATTAAAAATATTTTTTTGAAAAAAGAAACATCACATTCACTGTGTGGCGCCTGCGATGGTCCAGCAGAGCAGCTGCTTCTTCGTTCTCCCTGGCCCTCCCCCGCCTCCACTCCCAGCCCAGCATCCCCTGCGGAGACGGCAAAGGCGACGTGCACACACTGGGTACACGCCTGCCCCACGCCTGCCCCACGCCGGGCCGCCGGCCTGCCGGACACGGCACAGTGCTGAGCTGAATGGCAGGACGAGGAAATGAACGCAAACTCCAGCGCACAGTTCCGAGCGGGGTTCTAATCCATGTCCGCCAATCAGCGGGCAGAACGGGAGGCACAGCAGCAGGTTAGCGGTTCGGACTCCTCAGACCCGGCCGAAACAGCTGACCTACTACGCACCACTATGCGCTGAGCCACCACCCTGTTGTGGTTTCTAGCCTGATCAGTCCTTTCCTCTGGGTCGTGCGTGGCTGTGTCCATGGAACTGCCTCACTCTGACGTCCCCACCCGACCGCACCACCATCCCTCGTCCCTGCTCAGGACAAAATGCCGTAAGCGCACACGGACAGGAAGTCATCCCCGCCGTGCTGACCGGTGAACATGTACCTGGTTTGTGCATCAAGTAACGGCAGGTCGTTTTGTGGTGATTCATCTTTACCAACTACCGATGTACCAGAAGTTAGACAGGCGAGATCACAGTGAGGCAGATGTGCCGGAAAGAAGCGTGCTTACCACGAGAAAAGGCAGGAGGCACAGGACACACAGCACACGCCTTGTCTCCATAATGAAGGCCCCAATAGAATGTGTATATAGTACAAACTGCAATAACAAGTGAAAAAAATTGTAATTCATCAGTATTTATGAACTAAATGTACATGGTTCTCAACAGAGAATTTCTTTCAGATGACACAATAATTTTGCTTTAAGGATTTGAGTAAGTCTTATGTGTTACAAAGTTAAGAGCATTATGGTTTCAAATACCGATGAGCTTGATTAAATACATTTCAATTAAGTTTAATTAGTGTCACAAACGGGAAAGCTTCTTGCACATCCATTTTTAGTAACCAGAAGACAGCTTGTTTTCCTTTACTGAAATTGGGATAAAATAATTAAAATGTCAAAGTAAAGAGTTTTACAAAACATAAAAGCACCACCTTGGATGGCATATTTACTATAAAACTTATCTTTATTTTCTATAAGTGTTAATCTCTTTTTTTAAATTTTCTGAGTTTTCAATACGTTAAAGGGACAAATTGCTCTTGGGCCAATTTTCCTGAGAATCAATATTCATATTTCATTAAAATGGCCTTATACTTTTATAGAAATGGCCTCACCATTTCATAGAAATTATTCTTCACTGAAGGACTCAGCTGGGTGTGTTTTTTATTTTTATTTTTAACCAGGGAATAAATTATTCCTAAGTCATCGGCATCATTAGGATTTGGTTGTGGAAGACAGACAATACCAACCAAAAGCATTTCTGTCCAGCGTTTCTAAGTGTAGATAGAATCCTGAACAAATGAGCAGCGGTCCCTAGCCCGCCACGCTGAGCTCACGGCATGCTGGGAAAGGTGTGTGACACCTACTCCCTGGAAGGCGCCCGCGAACACCCATGGACAGTTTCTCATGAGGCACAAGTTACCCGGGTGTCATCCTAACATACGGAGACAGGAAATGTTTCTCTAAGGAGATAAAAGATTTCCCATCGATAGGTGTTTGTCAGGGAAGGATAACCTTGGATTCCATTTTGTTAGGGAAGTTGTGCTTCTCATGGTTGGGCGAGGGTGAGAATACGAACTCTGGACGCCTTGCCCACGTGCTCTGTGGATTGTTTATCATCGGGCGCCATGGGAACGCCAGGACCAGCACACAGAGTCGATGCAGCTCCCTTCTCCAGTGACTCACCTGGGAGCTGTCTATTCAGGAAACGGGAGCTCTCTCTCAAGGAACGCTTCTCTCCTGCCTGCAGTCCTGGGGCTTTATGACGAGCTGACCTTAAGGAAAATAGGACCAAAAAAATTAGAAGCACTATATTAATGTTAGATATTAAAAACCAGGCATGTTGTAACAGAAGGGAAATAGTAATCAAGTTCTTACAATTCAGTAACGAATGAGCTGATATCTTAGTGTTTATTACATTTCACAAGAAAAATCTAATTTTCTCATACTCACATGCACAGTTGTCTCCAGACTCAAATCATATTTTCCCTTGGATCACGTTCAGCACGGTCTTGAAGAACTTCTGAACTGCTGGGGTCATGACCTAAAACATTGAGTGACATAGTAATTAATATCGTTTTAATGGACCCAAATTACTCCCATGATAAACTGAAATTTTCAAAACAAAGACCACTATGAAACTGATATTTTTTATTAAACTATTCCAATTTTTAAAAAGTGTCTTTTGCTTACATTATGTTGGTGATCTGTCACACATATATGTTGTTTTTCCATTAGATAGAGACCATCAATTTTCATTTATCCAGGATACCTGGATACTGAAAAATCTAAGTGAATATTTTATCCAAGTAAACTTCAAAGAACTCTAATAGAATAAAAGGTTTTAAAATTAGACCCGAGTTTAATCTTTCTTTGAATAACTTTCTTTGTCAATCTTCTTTTGGGACGTGGTGTTCGTTTTGTGTATCTCTTTCCCTTGCTGATATGGTTTCTCAGAGCCAGAAGTCATTTCTTAAAAATATGTATATACTTTTGTTGATTTCAGAGAGGGAGGGAGGGAGGGAGGGAGGGAGAGAGAGAGAGAGAGAGAGAGAGAGAGAGAGAGAGAGAAAGGGAAACATGGATTGGTTGCCTCTTCACGCTCCACATTGGGGATCGAGCCCACAACCCAGGCATGTGCCCTGACCAGGAATCGAACCGTGACCTGGTTCATAGGTGGGTGCTCAACCACTGAGCCACGCCAGCTGGTCGCTAGAAGCCATTTCTGATTGACCTTCATATGCTTTGTGACTGGCAGGTGCCTTACACTTGAAGTACAAATGAATGAAAAAAGGAACTGTGAAAGCACTTCAGGGTTTTAAACTTAAAAACAAGAACACTAATCATAACCACCGATGACCATTTATGTTGCGGGTGCTGTTATAAATGCTAACAGAAGGCTTTACATGGTGTTGGCATCTGTACTGACAGTAAAAATGGGGGGAGGGGGCAGTTCTTATATCAGCATGTTTAGTTTCTTACACAAAGTCCTGAAACTACTCAGATTTCAAATTTTGTGGTTGGCTGGAAGGTGAACAAACTGTAGTTTACTGTACCGACTTGAAAATCCTAACAAGTAAGCCAAAATTAAAACAGTATTTCATAGTTTTTCTGTAGCGAATGCATGTAATACCAAAATATCCAAATATAAATGTCAATGGATGTTATTCTCTTTGGAAGTCAGATAGGATTTATGAAACAATTCGTGATGACTTACACATGAGTAAGTGTTAAATTCCCTGCAATAATTGAAGGGGAAAGTGCTTCAAAATCCCGTTTGGAGCTTTTCTTGAACCCAACGCACCTGGAAGATCTTTCACCCAACATGTGCAGGCTTTCGCTTGCTTATCTAGTAGCTTCGAGATCCCCATCCCAAAAGGCATCCCAGTGAAAGGTCCCTGGTGTGCCTACAGCGTTCCGGCATCGATATTTTAAGAGGACTTTGTTCAACTCACAAGATATTTATCCTCAGGAGTAATTTCAGTTTCACAGCTTCCTTCCCTGTCCCGGCCAGCTGGAAAGTGGGCCTCCGGGAGCGAGAGTGCTGCACTGAGTAACGTGCAGCACCCCAATCAAGGGCCGGTCTGTGGCCCCGGGTGCCTCAAGGGGCAGCAGCAAGTGTGTGTGTGGGGCAGTCTTTCAGGCACAGGGTGAGCACCTGCCCACTGTACCGGGGGTTCCCATTCACAGGAGTCGTCTGCTCTCCAGAGGGCCGATCCGATCTCCTCGCCAGTGGACACTTGGCGGGGAGAAGTGGTTATGGAGGAATTAAACTAATTCTTTTTCACCACGGTTTCTCTAGATCGTGGTCGGCAAACTGCAGCTCGAGAGCCACATGAGGCTCTTTGGTCCCTTGAGTGTGGCTCTTCCACAAAACACCACGGCCTGGGTGAGTCTGTTTTGAAGAAGTGGCATTAGAAGAAGTTTAAGTTTAAAAAATGTGGCTCTCCAAAGAACTGTCAATCGTTGTGCTGTTGATATCTGGCATGTTGACTAATGAGGGCCGACCACTGCTCTAGATCAACAACAGATGCATCGTGCAGGGAACGCCACACAGACACATCTGAAGGTCTGTTTAAACCGAGTCCCACATGGTCGATGTAATGGCATGGCTGCTATCAGATGTATATGCTCAGCTGTGTTCCTTGGTTAGCTCTCGGGTCTCTGCACACTGCCTCTAACATGATCATTCAGCAAATGGTTCTCTCTTTTTATTTTTAATATTATTTTAAAAATATTTTCATTGATCTCAGAGAGAAAGGTGAGGGAGAGAGAGAAGACACATCAATGATAACAGAGAATCATTGCTCTTCTGCCTCCTGCATGCCCCACACGGGGGATGGAGCCCGCAACCCGGCCTGTGCCCTGACCGGGAACCAAGCTATGACCTCCAAGTTCACAGGTCGACGCTCAACCACCAGCAAGTGGCTCTCTCTCCAGTATTTACCTCATTCTAAATTTACCTTTCCTGAAATACATCTGATGGGAACCGTCCAGAGCTGTTAAGCAAATTACTGTACATCTCCTTCCGTCCTGTGGATCGGCTGCACACTGCCTTGTGACATGTAGTGGCTCTTCCTCGGTGCTGAGCAGATATAAAGTATGTAGCTGGAGGAGGTCAAGTTGAATGACACTCTCCTGTGGGATTCTTTTAAGTGCGCGTAGGCTTGTTTGGTGGGAAAAGCACTTGGTCGAAGCTGAGCACTCGCTGTAAACTCTGAAGTGGCTCTGAGGTCCCAGCGGGACTCACAGCCATTCCTGCCGATGCCTCTTCCTAACCGCCGGCTTCGTGCCTCCCCGCAGGACTGCCATTTATGTTCTCATCTCAACGTCAAACCCGCCGGGAGACTGGGTGCTACTATTAGAAACAAAATGATGCCTGTAAGCATGGAATAAAAAATAGCCATTTCCAAACAGACTGCTCCTCTGGAGTAGGAAGGATTGGTGTCATCACAGCAGGAACGGGGAGAAATAACGGCCGCCTTCAGATCCCAGACAACGTCCGCGGCTCTCAGGTCGTCCTGGGATGTTCTTTTTTTTTATTGCCACACATCTCTCCACAAGACACATTTCACAGATTGTACTGCTGAAATCATAAATTCTAGCCAGTCTTCTTGACTCATTTCCATGTAAAGGCATGGAAAATTATATAAGCAGAAGCAACAATACTGATTTGTCAAACACAAATGTATAAACCCTACAAATGCATCCGTGCCTTGCAAGCCTGCTTCTTCTTCCCCCCAGTTTTTATTACTCTTGTCTATACTATTTTCTTTTCTTTGTAATAAGTCTTATTTTGAATTGCCTAATCCTAATCCTAAAAGTGCCTGTTCAATCCAAGATTAAGGGGGGGAAAAAATACAACTTTCATCTTCCACTCCTCCATTTCCAAAATATCTCAGATTTTTGTAGGCCTGAAGCCATGCCATGTTCCCCATTTATTTATCCGGTCTCCAGAGCGTTGGCCAACGAGCATTCCCCAGCCATGACTAACTGCCGTCGAGTGTCCTGACGGTGTGGGGGCACAGCCAGGCCATCCGCGATCTCGTACGCGCCTTCGCGGG